ATCCTCAGTCTCAGCTTGTCTATCTTGTTGACTAGTGACGGGGTGTTCGTGACAAACAGGCTCTGCAGCAGTAGCATGTCTGGGGAGGTCTTTAGCCTAGCATGGATGTCGGCCCACTTCCCACAGTTCTTGCAGACCGTATGTCATGTTTGCCAGTGCTGACTGAATAAAGTGGCTAAAAGTACAGAAGATTAAAATTAAGACAAGAAAAAATGCAAACGATCGATTTCTCTGCAGAGAGCTCCGATCCGCTGTATCCATCCGTGCTGCCATTTTACTAATCTCTGCAAGGCTTAAGTAGGGTTCAGAAGATGTATTTTAAAAGTATTTAGCTTGAGCTGAATACAGAATATGCATTTTTGTATTCTGAATGTGTAACACAGGTCCTTATATTCCAGTACAACCCAACCCTGGTGTCAGGTGACTGGGAATCTGTGAATTATACCTTTATAGAGGGAGCCAAGGAAAAGACAGTGATGCAAATGCAGAAAACCTTTGATTTATGAAACACAGACAGTCATAATATTACATAATATTACATTTTTTGGATACATACTTTGTGGATAATTATGCACCTCAGACTAATGTAATATTTCTGTTTTCAGAATATTCAATTCTGATTTCCATAGCCAGTTTGGGAATGTGTGCCTGTATAAATATCAAGGATTATTTATTTTATTATGAAGAAAAGCGCTTGGAGGGATTTTTCTGTAAGTATGAAACTCAGTCCTGTTTTTCACTGATGATTTACACGAGTCACCCTCTATATTGAGTCATTAGAGTACAATTATAATCCATGTAGTTCTCAAAATTCAATTCTGCTTATATGTAGTGTAAAATTGTGATGAACTGGGCATGGCGATGGAAACCATTGGTGCCAGTTTGATGATTTTTTTACAAAGGTCGCATCATGCTTTGTAGACCTTAGTCATCTTTTTCAACCAGCCACATTAATAACTAATTAATATTGTATTATTTAATCAAATCATACATAGCTTTTTCCTGTCACTGTTAGATATTTTTTATTTCTTTTTTTGTATGATGTTAGACTGTTTACTTACTATTTGTAATGAAAATAAATATATTGCAATTCTAAATGCTTTTGAAACATGTTGCGTTAATGAATTAATTCACTATTAAATATCTCAGAAACTAGAGCCAATGTGGTAAAAACCGAAGTCATATTCTTAATCAGCACTATAAACTTAATATAAACCCGTTCAGACATCGTTGGCTCCAAAATCACTGTATACCAGTGTAATGAATAAGATATAAAATATATTCTTTTTCCTTCAGTTAATCTATGCAAAGATCACTGGTATCTCTGTGAAATCATGACTGCACTGACCAAACACAGACAAACTGCTTTGGTAAAGAGGAATAGTGGTCACAAGTCAAAGCTGACAGACACAGAGGTTAGCTGGTAAACATCACAAAAGTACAGCCTGAAAAATGACCACACATCTGAAGTCTCAAAACTTCACAAAGCTGGGATTTATGGCAGGGCTGCCATTCAGAAAGCACTTCTATCCAAGGCCAATGAACAAAGACATATAACCTGTGAGCAGTGTCTGTCATTATGCACAGTGGTCTAATATTATATTATGTTATACAGTATTTAGTGCTGTCAATTGATAAATTTTTTTAATCAGATTAATCACAGGGTTGCTGTGGATTAATTTCGATTAACCATGATTAAATATCATTCATTTTTAATCTATATTAATCTCATTTCATTTTGCATGAGCAAACAGACTCAAGAAAAAAAGCAATATATATATGCACTTAACATATTTATTGAACATCTTGAACACGAGTCGGATGCATTCCATCTGCCATAGAAGTGCAATACCATGGACCCATAACAAAAAGCAAGATTTTTTGCTTAGCCGGACAACTTGTCGGATTTAAGGTACCTCAGTTTAAATGGTCTTTATCTTCGCTCACTTACAGTTAGCCCAAACTACCATAAATCCGACAAATAATCAGACTAATCATGAAATCCAATTCTAGCCCGGTTAATTGCCATTGTTAGCATTATCAGTTGATAACACATTACACGTGGTGCTTTACGTATAAAACTCCATAGCAACACGTCCACAGATAAGTTGGACGGTATAGTATGTGCGACCGATTTAATGAGCCACAAATGAGATGTAGTCCTTAAACAGTATAAAACTACAACTTTCCCTTCTGTTGATAAAGGGTGCAGCCATCTTGGATCCTGAACTCGGGATCCTCTGTGCTGCTCCAAGATATTTCTCGGATCCCCAAAAAACGGGAGCACGCATGTTGTCACTTCCGGCTTCAAAACTCGGAATCCGACTCGGAATACGAGTTCCCAGGGCAAATGGAACGCACCAAAACTACCTGAAATGGGTTGACAGAGACATTTCAGGGATTTTGAGTCACTCTGCGCTGCAGATGGGCTAATTGAGTTAAAAATTTTAATCAGATTAATCATGATGATGGATTAATTCGCATTAACCCGTTAATTTTGACAGCCCTACTTATATTATATTATATTATATTATAT